CACACACACATGGGTCAGCGCTGGGAGACAAGAAGACTAGGAGATCTGTAGCACAGGTATTGTATGGGATAGGGTTAATAGATTTCTCCAGAAAGCCAGCACAAATTAACAATGCAACACCGAAATTAACAGAGACAGAAAGAGGGGACAAGAGAGCTAAAATGAGGATATGAAAAACGAATGATAAAATGCAAAATATTATGTACAATAATGTCCAAAATTTATCGGAGGAAATATGTGGAAGAATGAAAAAGAGAAACTGAGTGATATTCCATCGAAAAGAGAAGAATAAAAAAATAATGCAAAAATCAGGTCTGTGGTTGCTTTGATAAAAATCACTCGAAGATATAACAAAGAAACAAAAAAGACTAACTCTAATTGGGATACAGAGGAAAACTATTTGAGAAAACACACCTGATTAACGGACGCATGCGAGGTATACCTGAACAATGGCAGCAGCTGCAGCATCCTGAAACTATGAGATCCAGCTAAACACAATTCCGTGCACAAATGTGCCTTTGAATTTCAAAAAATTTCAACAAAAAATTACTAAAAAAAAGGTTGTTTTGAGTCAAAACCATTCCGACCGGTGTTCATTCCAGAGAGGATTTTTTACAAGAATCTCCCCAGATCTGTTCAGCTGAAAGATTCTGTGCTGGATCTGCACGAAATGCACGACAGGACATGAACAGAATGCGCTTCAGAGATTTGTTATGAAAAAAATATGTGAATGACCACATCACGCCATCCTCGCCGAACGGATCGCCAGTGTAGCCAGTGCGGTAACTGCAAAAGTAGACGTTACCTAACAAAATATTTTGCACATTACGGAATCCTTGCAGCATGCAAATGCTTTTACAGGCTGGCAGAGTACCAATACAACTCCCAGAAATCTGTGGATAAAACTACAGTGCTTTTAAGTTTCGTGGTCTGAGAATCATCCCTGGGTCAAAGAAATGGTCTTTATCGACCAGCACCAACATGAATACTCAGGAAATACTCGTCTTGCGCTCTAGATTGTTTGTCGAGCGAAGAACGAGTACAACAATATCACGAGATTTCGAAAAACATGCGCCTAGACGACGCGGCGCTATGCCAGTGAGTTTCAATCTTACTCGCCAAAAAAGATAAATTCTTCCGAAATCTAAGTGGTAGGTTCTTAGTAGCACTAACTGTTCAAGATCACGGGCATGGCTGATACGTCTCCCACTATCCCCGATCTTTTAGCTTCACGGAAGAAGTAACCACTGGCTACGCGCACCAAGCGGGCCGCATTTTGCATTATACGGAGATAGCAAGAAATTCCATTAGCTAGAATTTGAGGAATACTGGCCCTGAAATTCAGGAAGTTAATTGTGCAGTTTTATGTGGTGCATGTTTCAACTTCAGTGATAAACGAAAAGCTGCTAGTGCGCCAAAAAGATTCAAGAGAAGAGATGAATTTGAAGTCTCATAGTCGCATATGAGCACGTAACATCCCTTCAAAATTCCAGCTTCCTAGCCTTCTCGTCCCCAGCCCAGCAATTTTTCCGCCAAAACTTTCAGTGCTTGTACGTGAGTCTCGAGCCGTTCTAGGGAGCTGAATTTGAAAACTTTTGCTCGTACATGAGTAGGAAATATTCCCCTAAAGTTTCAGTTTCCCAGCTTTTTTCGTTCCCGAGTTAGCGATTTTTCCACCGAAACTTTCAAAAGCCTGCGGATGGGATGCAGACATGCGTAATAGCTGATATCATATTTCTCAAATCATACTTGGCCAGGGGAAACACAGGTAAAATTTCAGTATCAAAAATTGCGTGGTTGCTAAGTAAAAAGACCCGGACAAACGAACACACACAGACAGGACAGTCGCAATGTCCGTTTTTGCTGCCTGTTGCAGTAAAAACAAACACTGCAACTGTCCTGTCTGTCTGTGTGCGTTTTTGCGGCAAAACCACATAAAAAAGGGCAACCGTAAAACTCAAAAAAAAAAAAATTAATTAATTTCCTGAGCAAAAGAAATGAGCACCTGTACAGTTTGCATTCATTTATCTTGATAACTTTGTCGACTTCCGCCCAAAGTGCCCGCTTAATTTCGTAATAATTTGTCACTGTAGCGGAAAGCTGCGAATCAACCAGCTTAGTCAGTGTCTGGAAGCAATCATTCACTTATATATTTTTTCAACATTTTTATATGATTTATTTTTCACATTTAACTTACCTTTTTCGAGAGTGCGGCGCAGTAGCAAGCGGTGCCACCCTATGCATACTCACCTCGAAATCTGGAACGAGAGAGAACGCATCACTCTTCGTATTCGAGAAATCATAGTCCTGGAACGATGCGTTCATCACCGACTTCAGCTCAAATAACGTTCGATAGGAGACTGCATCTGCGTACACCACACCACTCTGCAAGACATTTTTAAAAGCGAAAATACTTCATAAGGCAGGGATTCGTTAAATGTTATCAAAATACCCATAACTGAATCTCCATGGTATAAAAGGTAGCCCAAGTGACAGCACACTGCGGATTTCAACAATTCTCTTGTAATGTCCTTCGGGCTCCTTTTTCTGAACGTTGCTTAGGGAAGCAGTGGTAGCAGTTTTGACTTTCCGATAAAGTAACAGAGTGGAATCAGAATTACTGATGTAAGCCACCGACAGATAGCAGTTGTCCACAGTGAGAAATATATCCAAGGCTGCCGTAACTACAAGCATTGACTATTTTCAACCAGAATTTAGCCCATCAACATAACCACGTGTTGCTGCAAAAGCTCGGCTCAGAATTCACACTCTCCTGGGAGTTACCAAGTGTGAAGAGAAGGCATAGGTAGGAACCAAAAAAGCAGCAGAAAGCATGCGACGCATTTAGCATTCCTTTTTTTGGGAAAAATTAAGACAGAAATTTCAAGGCACGAATGCCAAGAGTACCAAAAAGTTAGGCGCTTAAAGACGCAACTTGCTTCAAAGGAACCGCAGAAAAGCTACCAACTGCTGCACAAATATTGACACGAAGACTAGAGAGAACGAAATAATGATTAAAGTCTAAAAGAGCTAAAAACTAAAACAGAGAATGCGTTCAGCAAGCAAAAAAAACCCAAAGGTATTACGACTGCCTGGCTGTAGTTCTCCTCATGCTTCTTCCTAAGAATCGTGACCTCACCAATAAAATAAGCTTATTCCTTACATGACGAATGGGGGATGCTTACCGATACTCATACCTGCACGCAATATTCTATTTGTGTTTACAGCTGGTAGATGAACTACTACAGTCTGCTGCTTACCCATATCTACATTTACAACTTATATTTGCCGACCAAGGATTTCTCCCGAAAACATTCTCAGGCACAGTTTTTTCTCCCCTTTTAAGCAAAACGCCCAATTATTCATTCACAGTATGTTGCCCGCAACCAAGAAAGCAAAGTACCTCGTCGAGATCACTGTTCGAGTCTGAACATCCCGGATCTGAGCTGTGTCGCAGTCGTGCATTCCTCAAACTGAGCGGTGAATTCGAGGAAAGCCATGGAAGCTCCTCGGGCGGTGATAATGGCTGTGGCGCATTGCCTCCGATCAACTGGCTTTTCTTCCATTGCTTCTTATCAGCAGTTATCATTTTACAGGAATATGCCTCCAACCTGCATATTTTAGCATAAATTTTTTGCCAAAATTTGTAAGCGTGTAAAAACCCTGATACATGACCTCCTCCACACATGCAAACATATGTTAAAACTAGCAGAGCAGCCAAACAAAACGTTTTGTTGGAAATCTGCGAAACGAACAAAACGGTTTTATTCAAAGGTAAACAAGAAATTGTCAACAAGACTGTTTTTCTATATAAGTTTGCAGTAAAGTTCACGACCTTAGAATCAATAGTAATATATGTTTAGGTAAGTCTTCCCAAATAAAGTTTTGTGGTCATCGTTTAGGAGCTAACTGTGAAAATGATCTCAAAATCAATATGGATATACAGAGCCAACAATTTGCTCCATATCACACGGTGTAGTAAGTTTAGCAAGTGGCGTAATTTACTAACATATTGCTTTGTTAGCCTAAAAACTAAATACGACGTCGCCATCGACCCAAATTTCAGAACATTTTCCCTAATTCACCCTGCCTGAGAAATAAAGAAACCCAGAAGTAGCCAAAGCACGTCGCCAACAGCAACCAGCTCACGCAAGGTTGCCGATGGATCCCCCTTTGGACGATGTCTGAGGAACAAGCTGCTAAAGCTTTTGATGCATTTCTCTTGCACGTAAATTTATCTTCCGAACAATAATACAATTTTTACAAACAACTCCATTTTTGCTCCTTCTCATCCTTCTTACCGAAACTTACATGTCCCCTCCAACATAGCGAAATGGCATACTGTACTGATTAATCCCACCCCATTTCGCAGCGATTCAGCCGTCTGTGTCTACAGTTCAGGGATGAAACACAGACGTTACCTACTCTAAATACCGGTTTGCTTATCTGACATAGCTAAATGGCTCTTTTGAGTTACACCAAATATTAAAATTCGACTGTTTTTTCTTTGTTGGCCTACACTGCGACCAAATTACACATGCGGCCGTAAGATACGTCTTACCCATCTTGCTCCAACCTTTTAAACGTTGTCAATTTCATTATTTTCATTAGCATTTTAGTTGCATTCCAAATTTTCCAGTACTCCGTAGCCATTTTTAGCAGCAGAATGGATCGACAAAATCGCATTATTGTAACTGAATCGTCCACATAACAGAAAAATAAAATTAAAAATTCAAAGAATGATAAGTCGGAAAAAATGCTACGGAATGAAAAACAAAAGGAGGAAACTGACGGAGTTTAAAACTTAGAAAAGTAAGTAAACTAGAAAGAAATGTCTCAATCCATAAAGTGGCACGCACTTCCTGCCACTGCCACAACTGGACCTCGTTAGTACGACGGTTGGGGCAAAATACAGGTTGTTTATAAAAAAATTATTTTTGCCATACAATTTGTAAACAAAAAACCGGTAAGACGAAGGCAATGGATCAAAGCAATGGGCCTCAGTTGCGTTCGCGAGAAATAATTATAAATTTTAAGAAATTAATTAGAAATGTGATATCAGAATTGAAATTAATTAAAAATGTGATATCATTTCATCAAATAGCCAACTGCCCACCGGTGCAGTGGTGAGCAAAATCGCCTTTCATGCCACCGTAGATTTACTGGGCACCACATATCACATAACAGCGTATGCGATTGTACGACAAGTTAGAAGATACACCCCTGTCGTCACTGATTTATGCCGTCAAGAGCCAGGAACATAAATCTTACCATAAGAGGCGATATGAATCAATCCAAAAAAGCTAATCTCTTATCTCTTTTGCTAAGGAATCTCTGCCAGAGACCCCTACCGAAGATAATCCTATGCTATGTCGCTGACGGGCAATTTAGGGATTAGAGGATAGATCAGACATGAGCGCGTTTATTACAGCACTTAATTAAATTCAACGGGATGTACCCCAGGCCAAAATAATTACGTAATTCATCACATACCAAGAATATCCAGTGGGTGAGATGCCTTATCGTAATCTGGAAGTAACGATGTTTTTGGATAAACCATCGATATTTTGGGACAAACCATTTGAGACAGTTGTTTTTCCCCAAAACGCCCATGTTTGGGACAAAACAACTCATTCAAACACATTCTTTTCAAAGCTGTTATGTACAGAGAGAAAAAGAAGGCGCACACGAAAAGCGCAAAACAACCCAGAATCGAACCAAAATCCAATTTATCAACCTCCCATGATCTGTCCCGTCCTTTGTGATAAGTATATAAGTCTGTGATTTTGTTGTAATGTTTAGTGTTGCGCAGTGTTCAACGTGTCTCCATTTACAGCCGTGGTGCTGCCTTTTGTCCCTAGCCCATCCGTTCCGAACTTCGATCGAAGATTTTTTTGTATTGATAAGATTGTATTTTGGTTAGCCCAGCGACAAGCAGGTTCATCCTCGTAATCGTTCAAGAATCTTTCACCGTATTGTCGTTCAAACATCGTCGTTGGCCAAGTAATAACTAACGGTTATAATCTCAGTTCTGTCGGGAGAATCACCCA